ATTCCCACAGAGGAGAACCAAGCCAACTTTCAACCCTCCTGCAGGTGACCTGCCCCAACCCCACCGGTATTTTTAGATCCTCATGACAGCTCCCTTAAAAGAGGCTCCAAAACATCTTTTTGCATTTGATTTAATCATCAAGGAAGGTGTGGGGGAAACACTACCTGACAGTGTCCTAGTTTAGCCAGCTGATAACTGGCACTACAGAAGGAAATTCCAAACTCGTGGCAGGAGGCAGCTGCTGTATTTTGAGGCCTGGCTGCTTCCCTGTGCTGCCAGCAGAACCACAGAGGGCACAGCTCAGGAGAGGAACGGGTTTGGACAGAAATTCCCTGCCCCTGTCAGCAGGGAAGCAGCACAAGTCACTACAAGATGCCAAACCACAGTGTCGGCTGCTGGTCATACAGGCCACGGCAGCCTCCACCTTAAAAGGGAATAAATCACTTCAGGAAGATAAAAGGTGGGTGAGAGGTTGAGTTTCCTGCCCAACCCTGTCCTGGGAGGTCACAAAACCAGGCTGAGCTCCGCAAGGCAGGTCTTGGGCAGAGCCTCCCGGGGAGGGCAAACACCTGCAGCTTCCTTCCTCTTCAAGGGGACTGGGAGGAAGGAAAATCCCATTCCAGAGCTGCTCAGGAGGGAGGGAAATGTGTAAGAGCTGCCTCCTGCCCCCTGAGAGCAGGGGGTGGATATCCCTGAGGATATGCATCCCTCAGGATATCCCTGTGGGGCAGCTGCTGGCAAACAATGGAAGCCAAGTGAGGGGAAGGGGTTGGCTCCTCACCATTGTGGCCTTGAAACTGCATTTTTCAGCCTCCAAGAGTTCATAGGAATAGCCCCTATGAAATACTTCAGCACACAGGGCAGAGAGACAAGAGGAAAACAGGGTGAAAAGGGGGCAAATACACTCAGGAGCTTCTGAAATCATCCCACTCTTGAGTAGGAACAGGGCTGCTGAGCCCTCAGGTGGGACTGTGGGCACGGAGGGGTCACAAGCCACACAGCAGCCCTGGGGAAGGCTCTGTTCTGCTGCCTCCTGCCCGGCAGGGGAGAGGTGGCCTGGCAAAAGTCACAGTGCTGCAGTGCTGGGGGCTCTGGGGTGAGCCCTGGGGCTGTTCCTGCAGTGCTGGGGGCTCTGGGATGAGCTCTGGGGCTGTTCCTGCAGTGCTGGGGGCTCTGGGGTGAGCCCTGGGGCTGTTCCTGCAGTGCTGCTGGCTCTGGGGTGAGCCCTGGGGCTGTTCCTGCAGTGCTGGGGGCTCTGGGGTGAGCCCCGGGGCTGTTCCTGCAGTGCTGGGGGCTCTGGGGTGAGTCCTGGGGCTGTTCCTGCACTGCTGAGGGCTCTGGGGTGAGTCCTGGGACTATTTCTGCACTGCCGCTTGCTCTGGGGTGAGCCCTGGGGCTGTTCCTGCAGTGCTGGGGGCTCTGGGATGAGCTCTGGGGCTGTTCCTGCACTGCTGGGGGCTCTGGGGTGAGCCCTGGGGCTGTTCCTGCACTGCTGCTGGCTCTGGGGTGAGCCCCGGGGCTGTTCCTGCACTGCTGCTGGCTCTGAGCTGAGCTCTGGGGCTGTTCCTGCACTGCTGCTGGCTCTG